AGTTACCCAGACAACACACCAAATCCCAGAGATATCCACAAAATATCTTTTGTGAATATCCAATATATCCACAGGATATCAGAAATAACCCGTGGATCTAATATGGATATCCAAATGTCCGTCTATATCCAGAATATAGAAGATATCCTATAGATATCCAGCAAAATATCTAATGGGTATCTCCCAGACAATACAAGAAATCCCAGAGATATCCACAGAATATATTTTGTGGATATCCAATATATCTACAAGATATTTTATAGATATCCAGTGGATCTAATATGGATATCCAAATGTCCGTCTATATCCAGGATATAGAAGATATTCTATGGATATTCAGCAAAATATTTTATGGGTATCTTTAGTAGAGGTTCATAAGTAACCAATGGATATATCCTATAGATAAAAAAGGAAATAATTCCAAACTCAAATAAGACATTCTTGGAATGGATTCGTCCTTATTAGGACTCTTCTGTAATAAATAGAAATTCTCGACTCCAGTCTCTAATGGAGTCTGATTGCAATACCAATTTCGCTCGAACTCAATTACGGCGGGTTGAGCATGAGTAGTGGTATCGCCATCTATACTTAGTAAGCAAAATCAATAGCCAGGCGGGCTATTCTTAAAAAAGGAAATAATTCTAGTCCTAATAAGGACGAAACCGATCCAAGAATGACTTTCTTCTTAGTGGGCAAAATCAAAAATTACGTCTAGTGGATATCCACCATGGTTTGCGTTCGCGCCTAGACTTTGATATATTTAGTGGATGTCCATGGGATATTGAATACACCTAAAAAAAATTAATTTTAAATATCTGAATGGTACTACTAGCCACAATGGCGTAATTTTTTAATAATTTGCTATATAATTACTATTATTTATGGACATTTGCATGTCTATAAATTACATCCCATGGATATAAAATAGATATCCACCATGGACTGGACATTCAGTGGATATTGGGATGTCCAGTAGATATCCAAAGGATTTGGTGTGCTGTCTGGGGCACCAGGTTCATCCATCACACTGAATTTTTTATTGTTTTACCTTGCGATTTTACTGTTTTTTTTTTAATAATTACCTCCTTAAATATTTTTACGTAATTTGTATTAATAATTATTAATTATACTAAATATTTACCGCAGTTTTTAAATTAGTAAGTATTTTGTATCAATAGGAAAAAACTAGAAATAATCAATTTTTTTTATTTTGTTAATTATTTATTTTTTATTTTATATCAATATTTTACTTACTTGTTTTGTTGAGCGCCTTTTTTTATTTAAATAATTTTCTATTTATTACCCTTCTATAAAAATTAATTCAACTCCGGCTATGCTTTTATACTAAATACCCTAATCAAATTATCAGTTATTTCGCATGATATGCTCTCAGCCCAGGAGTCGGTTCCCAGACTATAAAAATATTATTTTAAATTTAATTTACCTTTTTATTTCTTTGTATTTATATTTTTGTAGACCATTTGTTTTTTTAATAAAATTCATTTATATAAAAATCAAATTTAATAAATTTATTTAAATTTCAATTTCAAAAAACCAAACAATTAAATACAATCATAAAATAAATCATATTATATTAAATTAGAAATAAATCCTCATTGTAATTAATATTATAATGAAATTGTGATTCTTTCAATCAGTCTTTATTTTACCATAAATCTGCAGATTTGTTATTACTTAAAATATATAGTGGACAAAAGATGGCGTCGATTATAATAGTATTTGCACCCTCTATTGGGCAATAGGAAACTTATAGTCAAAACGAAAGTAGTTCACCACACATAACTATTTCTTAATTTTAAAGTTCTAAATAAATCACACTGATGGTGATCTGCAAACTGTCATGTAAAGGAATAGTACCCTTTATTCGTTTTTACTAATACTAACTTTACTATGATAATCTTTACTTTTTATAAGTACAAAATACTATATTTTATTGGTGTGTGATGTGCTCGTTGTTTTCTTCACAATGATGAAAAGTTAAAACTTAAAGTCACTTACAATAGTGCATGTAGTTTGCACTCTGAAGAATCCACTGTCTGGTTTCCACGTATAAACCAGAATCCAGAGTCAGATTTTCTTTGATGGCGATATCATACCGGTCTCGATATGAGTTTTCCTGGTGAGTGGATTTGTTTAATTTACCTGTCTTCCTTCATAAAATTTAGCTTAAATCGATCCTTAATTACTTCTGTACATTTTAACATATGATCGAAAGTTATATAAATGAATTATTCTATCAAAATATTTTAAATTAATTTTAGATTCAAAATTTTTAAACTCTTTTTTCAAAACGACAAAATGGAGTCCCATTATTCAACAAATTCGTTGCCTAACAACCGATTAAACCGCTACTATATATTCAATCCTCCAATAAAGGATTTTTATGGGTCTGATACAATTCAAAGTAAGTAATTTTTAGTTTTATTTTTACTGTCTGAGCAAAGACCATGATATACGATAATTTCTTATAATTTAAAACACATTATTTTCATTTTACCCTAGTCAGATTTCACCTATAATCCCAATTTAAATTTCTAGTTTCTTAACTGTCACTTTTTAATCCAATTGACCACAGAATTATCAGTAAGCAAACTAACTTATTTTGACAACAAAAGTAATATCACTTATTTTATTAAAAATTCTTAAATATTTCAGTATGTAGTTTCACAGGATAATATGTATGGCGATAAGATGGTAAAGACAGAATAAGGACTGCTCGGACGCCAGTTTTGGTAACACAGTTTGCTCTGCGACCCTGTAGTACACGAGAGTGCATTCAAGATAAAAAATAAATTTAAAAAAAGTGGAGCGATGACCTTCCGGACTAGTAATTAATTAGGGCTTCTTTGAAGGAGACTGGATAACGTTGTTGAAATTGAGCTACAACAATGAATCAAACCTCCAAAAAAAAAAAAAAACTGGGCAACTTCCTCAATGATAAAAAAAAGAAAAATCGAGTTAACCTCTCACACCAGCTTTGATTAGGGCGTCTTTTAAAGAAGATTGGAAAAAGTCGTGAAATTGCGATACATTTAGATCAAGCCTCAGTCCAATCTAAAGCAAAAATTATCAACGTCTTCCCCAATAAGGGATGAAATGAAAATAACTCTTAATGCGAATCAAAATTCTCCGGCTAATTAAACGGATGTCCAAACTAACAACACTTGCGTGCATAGAAATCGGCCCACTGTAAACTTTTGACTTTAACTATATTTTTTAAATTATTAATTAGAAAAAAAAGCTGTTTGAAAGACAATTTAATATGCTTTAATGTTGTCTAATAATTAATTATTAAGAGTAATGGTGTTTAATAATTTAAAAAAAATATAGTTAAAGTCAAAAGTTTACAGTGGGCCGATTTCTATGCACGCAAGTATATAAAGAGATATAAGAAAATGTCCTACCTTGAATACTAATACTCTCGGTCAACGGGAAACTAAAATTTTCACTTGAGCAGCAGTTACAGCAGAAGAAGAAGAGACCGAATTTTTTTTGTGCTTGCCTATTTTCGAGCAGCCGAACTTCCAAGCCCGGCAATTTCGGAGTGAGAGATACCATCTCCTTCCAGAACCTTGAAGAACACAAGTTGATAATTGACATGGGAATCCCTGTTCTAGACCATCGCGACATTGACTGTCGAGATTGCTAGCCGGCAGTTTGATGTGCTAATTTGGGCCAAGCGCCGTTTCAGATTCATTCTCAAATCATCAAATACCTCTATACAGCATCAGATATACAAATTTTTCGGATTTCGATTTGCGATTTCTCGATATTAAATTATAACTTAATTTTTTTTAATTCATTTTACCACTTTACAAAATGTACAACTACAATTTGCGTAGTACCTAACTAAAATCGGAATCCGATCAACAATTTGGCTACAGCTGAGCTCAGAAGGGCTCGGTACACGGGGAGAGTTCCATGGCTTTTCACCGGGCACGGATCTACCCTGAGAGCAAATCATTCTCAATCCTCATCGAGCGTCGACCTACACATAGCAAATGTAGGTCAGGAAGAAGTTTCCTGGTGACGTTCTACACAGCGTGGGTGATTTCGAGGAGTTTGCTACGCTCTCCGAATTGTCCACGAGTACGGCCTTACCCCTCTCACGACCCCTTCTTAGTGGAAGAGCGGGGCCAGGGCAAGATGATCTTCACTCTCGCGAGACCCGACGACAAAGTTTAAATTTCTTAAGAAACAGGTAATAATTAGATGGGTCTCTACGATGTAACTTCATGGGGAAGTTTACCTAGGTATCATTATAACTTCTGCCACCATCTAGATCTTTGGTACGTACCTACTGTAGTCTAAAGGACGCATTGATGAGATTTGTCATTTTGACAATAGCTTTCCTTGGAAGCATTTCCAAAATTTCCAGGGACTTTTTTCAGATTTATATTTGTTTAAACATCTTTTGGAGAGGTAGGTTTAAAGACTGTGTGCTAGTTCCTTCTACTTTTGAAGATCTTCTCCATTATTGGGTCGGAAGGTACTCTTTAAATCTTCTGCAAATCTCTTTGTGTTTTGCAAATTGTTTCGGGCCTAGCTTCCATTTTTATCTGATTGAGGGTAAAAATAAATAAAACACAAAGTCTCGGTAAATTCAATATATTAAATTTCAACATTATAATTTTAACACCAAATAGTTATACACTAAAAAAAAATACCATGACGTAATGGGTAATTTTTTGTAAATATGAAGAAAACGTTAAAATTTTATTAAATTTTTGTCTATAAGACAGTTCTTTCTTGTCTACTGGAGATTCAAATTCTATTTTCCTGCCTTTTATCGACCGATACAAATCGAAAAAAAAAACAAAAGTAAGCAACCACTGTTTATATTGAATATACTTCCAAAGGGCTTGATGGAGATGTTGAAGGAAATTACTCTACTAAATTGTTTTTAAGTAACTCTCACATTTCCCATCCTAAGCTAAGCTCACTTTAATTGATCTCCCTGGCACTAAACTAAATTTAAATTAATTTAATTCACCGTAACAATCCGGTAACGATAAATCAAGAGCGTCAGAATTCGTCAGGTACCTTACGTCGCTCTGACTTTCACCGTTCGACGACATTATTCCTCTAAATTTGGAAAATCGGTACTTCCTTACAACGACAAACGCAACGACCGAAATTAGAATTATAGCGCACGTCAAACTGACGCCCAGTATTAAAAAATGCGAGTTCGCCTCCTCGACGTATGTCTGACTAAACAGTTTATTGCTTTCGCTAAAATTCCTCAAGGACGGACTGTCTAAACTGTTTTCGATTTCGTCAGACCAGAATTCTTTAGCTTCTTGCGCTACATCATAAACGCCTTCGTCGATGTTAGTAGGCCATGGAACGTCAATCGCGTCATCGAATTGCTTGTCAGATTTGGTGTAAGTTGGTTTGTTGGTAGTGGTAGTTGTTATGATTTTTCTATAAATTACTGTTGTCGGAGGTGGTGTTTGCAAATGTATCACGGGTCTGGTGTATTTTGGTGTCGTCTTTGGCGTGTTTTTCGTCGTAATTAAGATCACACGTTCCGTAGAAGTTTCTAACAGTCTAACTGTGGTAGGTTTGATGGGTTGCTCTGGATATACTTTCATTGTGGTGTTATTTTGGGGTATATAAATGCTGGTTGTGGGTTTTTTAGTAGCGACTGTTACATCAATGGTTTTTTTGTTTGTAGGTGGTGATGTTTCTGCTGACATTTCGACATTCGTGGTGGGTTCCGTTTTTTCGTCTTCGTTGAAGTTGGTCGTGTCAAATTCGTCTGCAATAGTCGTTCCTACAACAATGAAAAACAAATTTTTAAAGTGATTTGAAAGACAATGAGATTTGGACACATCACAGGTACCCATTGACACAAAACTAATAATTAATTTTTTTTTCTTGTAGTTCTTGGGTGTTTAGGTAAAAACCCAAGAACTACAAGAAAAAAACTATAAATTAAGGTGTAAGAATTTATAAAAGAAAATAGAGACTTCCTTTGTAAAGTACCAATAATAATTAAAATGTTCACGCCTACCTGTACACGTGTCGTAATAATCAGGACAGCATCTGTTATTGTTAAAACAGTCATCGTCACAATCGCAAGTTAAGTGATAGTTATCGGTTGTGACTGGTTCGGTTTGACCACATCTATTATCACATGTATCGACTGTTGGAACTAGTTCATTGTAGGTGCTGCTATCCCTAAAAATAAATTGCTGTACAGATACGGAAAGTTGAACGTGGACCCTTTCTTTTACAAAAAATTGGACAAAGTCTAATAAGAATATGGCGAAACAAACAAAGGCCACTGATAAGCGAGGAACGCCCGTTGCAGAATACGTATGCCTCACACCACTCCCAATTACCCTTGTCTGTTGTCTCAGTTGTATGCGCGGTTTTCAGTTCAATCAGAGCCATTAGCTACAAAGCTCACGTAGTAGTTAGTAGCTATACTAAATCCATAAAAATAAATTAGATTCCTACAATTTACAATGAACTGTAACAAAGAAGAAAAATACAGATTTTAAAATTGAATTTTGGAGGCCACTCGATAAAAACCAATAAATTTGAAAACGGACCCATTGCATCACAATCCACAATTCTTCAGATTATTCAAAAGTCTACAGAAGTATCAAAAAGCAGTAACGTCGACAGAACCACGTGTAAAACCAGTTAATATGGAACGTGAAAATAGAGAAATAAATGTATGTGCCCTTATTGAAACCGTGATGGAGAAGGTCAATGAAAACCTCGGGAAAATGAGCAACGGTGTATTCCTTGCGCATAACCAAAGAGCCCACTGCAAACTTTGGTCCGTCATCTGATAACGAAATACGAAATTAAATATGCCCGAAGGCATATAAAAACATTGTACTTTACCAACGGCACCTGTGCCAATCACTATCCTGAGCAAAGTGATTAAAATATACGAATGAAAATAGAAGTCAATACAACGATTATATGGTTATTTTATTTTAAACACAGTTTATTTATTTTTAACACAGTTTATTTATTTTAAACACAATTTATTTATTTTAAACACAGTTTATTTATGTTAAACAGTTTATTTATTTTAAACACTGTTTATTTATTTATTTTAAATACAGTAAATTCATTTTAAACAGTTTATTTATATTCATTAAATACATTAATTTATTTATTAACACATTAACACACATTTATGTACTGTTTTCGATTTCGTCAGACCAGCATTTTTTAGCTTCTTGCGCTACGTCATAAGCGCCTTCGTTGATGTTAGTAGTAGTATTTATATTCACTTAATACACTAATTTGTTTATTATCAACACAAATTTATCTACAATACTTGTTTACTAATTTATTTTACAAGAAATACCTTATACATCAACTATTTGCAAAGGGTTGATGTCAGAAATGTTGTTTTAAACAACTCTAGGCCTACATGAAGCTTTCTAGTTTATCTAGAAAGATCTCGTAATGCCGCCGTCTTTGCATCGAGGATTTCTAGACGGTTGGGGACAAAGCGAAAACCTTTCCTCTATGAGTCGAGTACGTGTACAAAGAACTTTTTGGTATTCTCTCGGATGTATCGATGTATAGTCTAGAGAAGAAAAAAATGCAGTAATTTAATTACAGAACGTAGTACAGGTACAAGACGTATAAATTTTATTTATACCTCATCCTTCAATGTTTATTTGCAGTTAAAATGAAAATTGTAATACATCTGATCGGCCTAATAAAAGGTTTCGTTTAAATTTATTCATGTTTCCATGGTTTTTACTGTAATAAACCCTTTCTTTGACAGATAATTCAGACTATATTTATTCATAGCCGTATCGTATGTATTTTAATTGATTCGGAATTTTAGAAAATATTTACAATATCATCAGGACTTCACTTTTAACACCCTGTATCTTGGAAAAGAAATTTTTTCGGAACTAATTTATATGAACTTTTACTATTTTAGGATGTAGATTACGCTGTTAAAATATGACCGTCTAATTTCGTGCCACCCTGTATATTATAATTTTACAGTTATATAAGAATGGCGAGTGCATTAGAAAATATTGCAAGCACAAGTACGCGTAAAAGACCTAATGGACATAAAACATTATCTTTAGAAGAAAAAAGATCGTACTTAATGTATTTAATAATCTACGAAAAGATTTTATTTTACTTTCTGTGGATGAAATAGCCACTAAATATGAGACATATACTGGAGAATCTAAGCGGACAGTGTATAACATTATTAAAGAAGATGCAGTTATTGGAGAAGCCCACATGAAGAAACAAAACCTTTATTGAAACTTGGGTAAAGAATGTAATCAAGTAATGAAATTCTTACTCTTTAAAAATTACACTCAGCAATAGAAAATAGCCCCACTCTTCCAAATATATAATATTTTCATCTGCAAAAAATATTACATTACGTGACAGAAACAGCTTTTTAACAGAGAAAGACGAAATCATTTCGTGGAGACATAATAATTTAAGGAAAATAGCGGTTGTATGGAATAAGCATTAGCAGGTATTTTATTTAGATGAAACACGGGTTAATAACAGAAATTAGGCAAAATACCTCTATCAAAACTAAAAAACAACCCACATTAGAAGCACCGTTATATTATTAATGTTCGATTTAAAGAAAACAAAAGACTACCACGAAGAAATGGATAGCTGTATGTTTGAAAATTGGTTTCAGAACATTATAAAAAAATTCTAGCCAACTCCAAAATAAAATATGTCACGAAAACATCCTGCTGATACTGTACTTGGAGGCGTTATAGTTACAATAACTATCAAGCAAGACTCGCGTTGATTCCTTAGAAAGCCAAAAATGCTTAATAAATAACATGTTAATTCCAAAGGTATTTTATAAATAAACTTCTTCCTTCTATGCTGTCTTTCTTTAATAATGTTTTGATTTTTAACAGCCAACAAATATTAATTTCATCAAAATCTGCCTCATCCATGTTTACGGTCCTCAAAAGTCGCATACGATTTTAAATTCGAGCACTTTAGACCACTCGTGTTGAATTCACCTGACATTTGTCCTATACTGTTTTCGAGAATACACCTATTTTAAATCACCTAGTTGCTATTTGACATTTCACTAATCTCGAATGCGAATCGAGGTATTCGACATTCGAGAATACTACCCCAGTAGTTACAGTGAAGACAGTAACTTTTAAAGATAGTTCTTGAACTTTTTATTTGAATGCGCAAGTCAATCAGAACTTTCGTTCTAGAGTTATCGTGCCAGCATACCTACATACAGACGACCAGACGAAAATCGTTTACAATGAACTGGGATTGCAATTTTCAGGGCAAACGAAATTATCGCTGTCAGATCTTTGCTCAGGATAGTGATTGGTACAGTTTAACGTATAAGTTCGTTGCAAATTATAAGAAACGGAATTCCCAAATTACACTATAGTGAAATACGAGAAATATGTGTAATGAAAATGAACAAAAATATTTTTTTCTACGACCGTGTATTTTTACCCACTTTCCCGCACGCATTTTAGTTTTGAAAGTGTCACTTTCCCGCACTAGTGCGGGAAAAAATCACTTTCCCGCACTAGTGCGGGAAAGTAAAATTATTAATATTTGGCCTTACCTATTGTATAGTTTTTTTACCTCGGATGTTATAACTATTGTTACAATAGGTAATTTAGTATTTTCCAACTATTCCATTTAATAAAATTACTTTTTTTCTTGCTTTTTGTAATAATTTTAATTTTTTGGAAAACTTGAATAATAGAGATATTTTTATATACCTTCTGTATATTTTTAAAAGTCAGACTAGGCTGTGACATGTATGGCTTGATATGGTTGCTATATGGTAACCAAGGCGTGTTATTGTTACGAAAACGTCAAAGTTGTTTGTTGAAGCGTCAACTGAATTAAAGAAATAATGGATTCATCGGATGAAAAGCTGCCCGAAGCCATTTTAAAAGCTGCAAATGAAGCACATTTGGAGGTGTTACCTGCCAAATCACGAGGAAGATATGAAAAACAATACGACCATTTTGTCACATGGTGTAAACAGGAAGGGGTAAAAACCTACAAAGAAGAGGTGTTTCTGGCGTATTTTTCGCACCTAAGTAAGTTTTTGAAATCTAATACTTTATGGTCTCGCTATTCGATGGTGAAAAGTTTAGTAAAAATAAAACAAAATTTGGATATAAGCCAGTTCAATAAGTTAACGTCATTTCTAAAACAAAAAAATGTTGGTTTTCGAGCACAGAAGGCGCAGGTTTTTACCTTAGAAGATATATCCAGGTTTATGTTAGCCCCTGATGAGGTATACCTTATGATTAAAGTGAGTACCATTTTTACTTTAGCTGGTACTCTCCGCAGAGCGGAGCTTGTTAATATCACTCTCGATGATATACAAGATAAAGGCAATCTGATAGTTGTGAATATTTCCGATTCCAAAAATCATTCTTCAAGATCATTTGTTTTATGTGAATAAATAAATAATGGAAACTTTCTGAAGCTGTACAGAAAGTACGCAGGTTTACGACCACCTACCACTCCGCATCGCCACTTTTTTATTAATTATAAGAAGGGAAAATGCTCAATTCAGTGCGTTGGCGTAAACACCTTTGGTAAGATGCCAACAGAGATTGCTGCATATTTACCTAATCCTTAACGATATACAGGACACAGTTTTAGACGTTCTTCAGCAACATTCCTAGCAGACTCAGGTGAAGCGATAACCAATATAAAACGTCTCGGTGGCTGGAAGTCCACTTCTATCGCTGAAGGCTATTTGGAGGACTCCGAAACACAGACGAAAAACATTTCGAATAAAATTCTTTCAAATAGAAATGACTTGCAACCTTTGCTGCCACCGTCATTTTCACCTTCATGCGACCTGCAACCGATGTCACTCCCGTCCACGGCATCTTTTCAATCTACGAGCGTTACGACTATTAACAGCCAATTAACACCAACTAATTCCTCTGTACCGGCAATTTTACATAATTTACAAAATGCTACAAATTGTGTATTTAACATTAATATCCATAATAATTAGTTGTTTTTATTTAAAGATTTGTATATGTTGAAATAAAATAATTTTCCAAAAATAATTTTTCCTACTTTTTTGTATATACGGTCGTAGAAAAAATAATGTTCCTAACTCATGCGTAAAGTGTCTTTCCCGCACTTGACCGCTTGCCCGAACTCCGCTTCGCGTCGTTCGGGCCAACTGC